GTTCTTTTTATATGCGTAAAATAAACAACGTTGAGATCAAAGTTTCCATCTAATATAGATAGTACACTCAAAGACAATCAATTAATGGTCAGTTTCTTGGATTAGACCAATGAAGATGTTATCAAATCTTTAGCAATGTATTTATAACATGTATTAAGACTAAGGTGAATGTATATTATGCTATGTGTCTGCTAAAACTGAACTGTACTATGAGCCATATGGCCGTACAAACTAAACAAACTGCCTATTTGTATGTCATAATTGAAGTGACAAAACCCTTTCCATATTCCAAAGAAATATCTGTCAAATAGATTGGACGATTCTGACCCTATCACGAGCATGTGTTTATGAATCACTGACAAAAAGTGACGATATCAGGTGTTCGCGAAGAGGTGGGCGTATCCTGCTTCGCCGGTGGCACCCGTCACCTTTAAACACATGCTCATAATAAAGTGGGGGGCACGGATGGCCGCGATTCGCTGTGCAGAGTTGCGTCCCTTGGGCACGCCAGAAACCTATGATTGTGGGTTCGAATCCCGGTTCGCCCTGATTATGTTTCTAGGTTTGTCAGCACCATACCCGTGCTCGTTGGTTTCACCGAAGTGGTAAACGTCTGAGACCTGCATCACTTCGGGCTTTCCTCCCACATTAAGCTGACACACCGTGATATAACTGGAATACTTTTTAAAGCGGCGTTAAACCCAACTCACTCACTCACTCACTCATAATAAAGTGAGAATCGTATAATGGACTCTGCTTGTAGCAAATATTTCTTATAATTATGGAAATGGTACATAATACGATACACACCATCACCATACACGCTCATGTTGATCACTTTCAGTTAATTGACAAAATGAAATGTCATTCCTTTTGTATAACTGGTCTCAAAGCGACATGTCTGTGTGAATGTCACTTGAAGCCAAGAAATATGACGTCGGCCTTAAGATATTCTACATTGCGGGCAATGCAAACACGTGACTGTGCCGAATGTGCAATAATAAGAGAGTATATTCAAGATAATTGTCATCGAGGCGCAAGCTGTGCATGTCATCGAGACTTACACTGCAGAAATATGTGAACTGTCTCTCAAATGAGGATAATTGTGACCTTTAAAATTTGGCAACTGTTGTCGAACTCCATAATGTTCCTGGAATCATTATCATGGATAATCTGCCTCAGTACTGCTCCATTCAGCCAAGTGATCACAAGGAAGGCACGTTACTGCAAGACATATGTGATAACGCCACAATAGACCTTGTGCAAGAAAACTTTTCGGCTCTACCTAGGGACCTTCTTGTGAAGAAACTCAATGCGAAACTTAACACTACATGAATAATTTGCAAACGAAACCTTTCAATCTTGTCAAGATGAGTACACAATGTGATATCAAAAGAAGAAAAATGTTTCACACTGAAACACAGTCTTATTGTCAAACTAGCCAGGTATTATGCAAGTCTAATTTATTTTTTATGTGGAGAATACCTTCCTGGAATAAAGGATTTATTCGCAAGAAAACAACGAAACAGTTAAGAAATGAACTCAGCTCGGTTGTAAGTGACGTTGAGATCAACATGCGTGGTTTAACCAGCGTGCGTGACGACCTTGGACGTGCCATGACACAATGCAATACAGACCTGACATAACAGACCTGACAGATCACACTTGCACACAGGATGAAAGCCATCAACCTTTGAGTGACTGTGTCCTGCACATTGAGTGAGTGAGTGAGTTGGGTTTAACGCCGCTTTTACAGTATTCCAGTTATATCACGGTGTGTCAGCTTGATGTGGGAGGAAAGCCCGAAGTGATGCAGGTCTCAGACGTTTACCACTTCGGTGAAACCAACGAGCACGGGTATGGTGCTGACAAACCTAGAAACATAATTGGGGCGAACCGGGATTCGAACCCACAATCATAGGTTTCTGGCGTGCCCAAGGGACGCAACTCTGCACAGCGAATCGCGGCGCTTTAGACGACTGGGCCACCCGTGCCCCCAGTGCTAATGGAGAAAATATTTCCATCATTGATTCTAAAATTCAATGTCTGAAAACCAAGCAGAGAAACTTGTGACGGACACCTTCCTGGAATGAAGGAATGTGTGTATAAACCTGGTGACAATCATGGTTGACTGTTCAAAACTGCGAGCGACTCGACTTATATGGCAATTCAAAAAACCCAGAAACGAGCTTTCAGTTAGTTCTACAGCATGTTCACTTACCAACCTTGTGATGCTGTGAAGTCAACCAAGCCTCGTTGTGAAAATGAACAGACCAAAGACATCTCAGTATATATATATATATATATGTATGTATGTATGTATGTACTTGTAAGAACAACAAAATTAATAAGATAAAAAAGTTGGAAAGAACCACAACCAAACCTGCCCCAAAGCCCATCAGAATCATCATAACCTACCTCGGATATTTCACTCATCAGATTTCCCGCATCAAGAACAAAGCCAACATAGATGTCACCTTTTCTAGCGGCAAGTCCATCAGAGGCACAAGCAGCGCAAGTCCCAACCCCAGAGGATGTATATACCAGATGCCCTGCAACTGTGGCCACAAATACATTGGAGAAACCCTCAGATCCCTCAACCAGATTGATTCAAAGTACATTAGACCTCTCTCGACAAACCTAGGCCTGAAATTATATGAATTAGCGATGATACAATGTGCTTGAGACAAAGTGAGCCTATCTTTCCACGGTTGCAATATTTACAAACACATGCAAACTCAAATCAAGTGTTAACCTGAACAAACGAAAGAGCACATGGAACATGGTAAAATAGGGAAGTCTCGTCATGCGCCAACTTTGGAAACGTCGTTGACATGTCCACAATATACCCTTTGGAAAGCTTTAAAGTGACCCCTTTAAAATATACCATGTATGACATATTCTACTTTGCTTAGGAGAAACACTTTATTAAGCGGTGAATGTACAATACAAGTACTTGAAAGTAAACATGTCACTAGAGTTTGACCGTCCCTTTTTAACAACCCACTCTAATGGCCAATTAATTATATCAAATATATTAAGCTACCCGAGACGATCTGGGCTAGAATTGATCTTCAGCAACCCTTGCTTGTCGTAAGAGGCGACTGACGGGATCAGGTTGTTAGGCTCGGTAACTTGTTTAATGCCATCGTATTTGCGTTGATCGATACTCATGATATCAGTCACTTGATTGTCTGGTCGAGATTCCGTTATTTACATACATTTAACGAAAATGGTTTTGTCACTGTTTTTCCATTAAAGCTCATGTTTATAACTTGAGTATCAGTCGATGGGCTAAATGAACTGATATTTCTTATAACAACATGACATATGTGTATGATTGTCACTCGAAGAGACGGTTTACAATATCTAAGCTATATGATGTCGACCTGAAAATATTCAACATTGTGGTCAAGGCAAACTCGTGATTGGCCGAATGTGCAACGATAAAAACCTTTGGCGAACAATGCGGAGGACGAACCAGATCACACGCTGAACCTTTTCTGACCCAGAATCCCCATCGTGGATATGTCCATATACTATGTATCGTTAATGTTGTGGAAAGTAACGCACAGGAATACGTGCACGAAACAAACAACCAACAATCTTATCAGTTGAACAACGGTATTCTCGGTCTATCTTGAAACATTTGCGCCTTCTTTGTTATGGGTTTGAGAAAATTACTTGGGGACATGGAGATAAGGTATCGTTGGAAAAACATAAACAAAACTTTAAAGAAACTTTATCTTTGTCTCACATTTGTATAATGATGATGAAACTATTTTTGAAAGCATTCCTTATTGTAAATTATTACTCTAAACATGTTTATGATATTCGGCAAGACATAAGAGGGAGACACGACCAATCATAGACTGGTTTACCTGCCCAAGAGCGCTTGCGTTCCTTTCATCGATCCCAAATGCGTGGATCGATGCTTATAATATAAATCACTGGATTGTCTGGTCCAGACTCGATTATTTACAGACCGCCATCATATAGCTTGAATATTGCTGAGTGCGGCGTAAAACAACCAACCAACTAACTTTGCCTGCAGCCGCTAGGACACGAGAGGCAGGGTACCACTCTAGCTCTATCCGACCTATTTCTACATACATTTCGTTGCTCAGAGACGTTGACCCAGTCTTTGTGCAGGAAGATATTAGCACTTTGAACAATTGATGTGTCAGGCTACAGGAGTAAACATATTGCCATTAGGAAGGTAACTCTCATTTAGAAGTATGGTTCATGGTCAAAATAACAAACGCACTCACAACATTGTGGGTTTCAATTTTAACAGTATCTGCCTGTCTGCATGTGCAGATCGATCTACCTCATTATAAAATAATATTACAATATTGTGATTCTCACTTGGAAAAGGTTAAATATGAGGTGAGGTGAGGTGGGGTGAAATTGGGTTTAACGTCGCATCCAAGATTATTGCACTTATATAGCGACGTGCATGTACGTGCGTGTGTTTGTGTGGCTGCTTGTACTAGTCCGGACTGATGCCGATTTATAGTGCTAGCTCACTGAGATACCATGCCGCAGTTTAACATGTGAATACCCCACTCAGACACAGTATACTGACTCCGAGCCGACCAGTCCTTGTTTTAGCCTCTTACTGCCGAGCTCCAGACAGGGTAAAAACAAGTACCATCTTTTAACTCACTCATTGTTGTGAGAACATATTACCAGTTTTGTTTTCGAAATATGTTTGTTTTCTTCTTTTATATTACATAAATATTTCAACTGAATATTGTGCCATATTCTTTTTCATGATTCTGAAAGCACCTCATGCAAATTACAATTTGTTTTATCTTCCGGGTTACACATGGCTTTATTGCATCAACGGGTAGGTATGCTACAAAACATCTTTGCGCCGTGTTGATCCTCTAAATCAAAGGTGTCTTGTTATCTTTCACCGTTTGGCTAGGTTCCTCTCGCACAAACATATCACTTATGTTGCAGTTGATTCGTTGACTGTAATGGTTTCTTTTCAGGAAATATTCTTGGCGGCAAACCATCAACTGATCCAAAAGGAAATGATGAACTGTCGGATACGTGTATGTTTACTGATGCACAACCAACACCTTACTGGCAGGTGGATCTACAGGGCTACTATGACGTCCACAACATCACCTTGGAAACATGCTGGGGATCATGGGGTTTGTGAAGTATCTACTAACAGCTACTAAAACACTCTTTTTGTTAGCCACTAAGTGACCAGGATTGCGTACACTGGGACAGTTTTGTCTTCTGTTTTGTTTTTGTTTTACGCTGCACTCAGCAGCAATCGAGCTACATGACGACAATCTGTAAATAATCAGGAAATTATGTCAGGAGAAGACAGTTAAATGATTGACATCATGAGCATCTATGTACGCAATTGGATACGATTTCATGCATCAACCAAGTCAGTGAACTTGAGCACGGAACCTGTTATTTCTGTGAGCGCAAGGGTTGTGATGAAATACAATACAGAAACATATTGACAATATATTTTGGTCGCATATGTACTCAAATGCAACAGTTATTATGGCATACAAAAAAATACAAAAACGAATCGGTCACAACACTCTTACTGCACTTTATGGTATTTTGTCAGATGAAATAAATATATATGTAGGGAACGAGCAACAGTTGATTTGAAGAGCGTTTCGGGAGTGGACACTATAGAAGTTTCCGGACTGTTGTCAGGGATGGGTTGGGGCGTGGGAGTAAAAACGAAGATGCGTGGTTCAAATCAATGTGTTAGCGTGTGGTTGGTACGGGTGTGCCGCCATTTCGTGGATGACGTTGATAACGTCAGCATATGTGCCATATGTGGACGTCAAGCTACGTGGTGCCTGGATCAAGCATTCCGATGATTCGCCATCTGTCATTTCCATGTTGGTGTGGCATGATGAATGTGGCATCACATTGATCAATAGTGGTGTTTTTTCAGCTGCACGTTCGAGTTGCATTGCTATGGGATTGGATGCATGGCATTTTCTTAACTGACAGTTGATGCAATTTATCATGAATATTCGTTATTTCTTGGAAAACAACGTCCGATACCAGCATCATATTGTTGGTTGCTTATCTTTGAGCTTTTTCATAAACATTTTCTTTGAATCAAATAAACAATAGATATAAAAATATTTGGGTTTGAAAACAAATAAAAATGTACAATTACATATTTTGTGCTTATAAGTGGGGATCTTGTAGTTAAGGCGGAAATACAGGATTCATAATTCGTGTCATGAAATCAACAGAATGGTTTTGTTAAGACAGGTCCAGCAAAACGTTGCAACATCACGCACGCTTTAACGCAACCTCTCCGAGCGTGTTAGTATTCCAGCTTAACAAATGTTTTTTTGTTGTTGTTTTTTATTATTCAATTCAGTATATGATATTACAGAGTAATACATTGAGTAGCACGTCATGCTGTTTACTTATTTATGTGGAGGTTACTTACCTATACAGCATACAGAGACATATTAACTAGACAATTCATTTGCCAAATTTTTCCATTTTCTATCAAACTGTCTTATTGTATTGTTTTTGTGTGCAGTTGATTTCTCTATCCGAAACATATCAATTAAAGTCTTCAGAAACTTTTCAAGTGACAATTTGTTTTTCTTAATACTTGATACATGTATATATTTTTTGCATGCCAGTATGATGTGATTCAACAGAATGTTAGAGTTGTACCCAAGAAGAAACAGAGCATTTTGTAAAATGTAAATTTTTTGGAACATTTTGCATTCAGAAAATATTCAACTTTACCCCAAAAGTAAGGATTCAGTATGGTAAAACAGTACAGCTAAACAATTGTTTGTCTGGTGGTTTAAATCGCTGGCAACGTCCAAAGCCGTCGTACACGTTGAGTACAAATCAAACAAGTCACTTTTCGCATACATTTCGGCTCCTTCAACAAGCATAGAATATTGTCCACCGATCCTAACCCGTTCTTTGGACTTACAACAAGGTTTGTCAGTTGAATATGGCAGGCACAATCTTTTGACGAAAGCCATGTGATCTGTTGTGGTGCTGATCACATAGAATTAATATAAGGGTAACGCTATTTTTCAGGGCATTATCATTTGCAGAAGCCCGAGGTCTTCCATTAACTGCCCGACGAAGGAGGGCAGTTGAAAAGACCGAGGGCTCCTGCAAATGATAATGCCCTGAAAAATAGCGTTACCGTTATTATAGCTAAAATGGATGGAATTTGTTATCAAATAAAAAGAAACAACACTGTCGATTTTGAAACATTTACTGCAATCAACACAAATTTCGCTGACCCACTTTTACAAATATGGAAACGTCATAGAACAAACCAGATGACGTCACTATTGAACGTTACGTCACCTATCCCTATCCCATGACGTCACCTAACAACGGGCGTGATAATGGCCCGTCGTCAAGTAATATGAGGGCATTATCAAGTTACAGTGGCCCGCTCATTTCTGATAACATGCGGGCGTTTTTATGATAATTCTATCCATTTTAGCTATAATAACTGGATATATTTGCTCAGACAATTGAAGCACTTTTGACCCAAGGGTGCGCATTCCCCTGACCAATACATCTTCAGGAGTGATAGTACCAATTAAACTTTGATTATTATCCTTACGAATAACATGATGTTGATAGTTGTCATACACGTACGTATGGAACATGCTTAAAATGACATACATGTATTATTACTTTGATGATTTCTAAACACATTGTCTTAACCTTAAACTGAACTCAGTAGAACCATACGTTTCTACACACAGGATGGAAAACACGGTCAGTTAAGATCCAGACTTACTTCAGCAACCCTAACCAGTGTCCTGGTGCTGTCGGCTTTCTCTATGGAACAACACCAGCAGGTACAGGCGAGTCACAGACTCACGTATTCCACGCCACTCCTACATACCGTGTTCGGTACATTCGACTCGTTGCCACAACGCAACCAGATCTGGGTCTGAAGGAAGCATTGGCTATGGGCACTCCCACAAAACGTGGTGCAGGTACGACATCATCAAATCTTTTTAAAGACCCAGAATATGTAGAGGGCGTCATGGAAAATGATAAATACAAACTTCTTTGGAATAGGTCCGAATACAGCCTCAGACCTATCCATTGGAAACATGCTGGGGATCATGGGGTTTGTGAAGTATCCACTAACAGCTACTAAAACACCCTTTTTGTTAGCCACCAAGTGACCAGGGACAGTTTTGTCTTCTTTTTTGTTTTTGTTTTACGCTGCACTCAGCAGCAATCCAGCTACATGACGACAATCTGTAAATAATCAGGAAATTAAGTCAGGCTAAGGCAGTTAAATGATTGACATCATGAGCATATATGTACGCAATTGGATACGATGTCAAGCATCAACCAGACCAACAAACCTGATCTTGTCCTTTTTGATAAATCCAATATATTTATAAATTGTTTGTTCCTTGTGACATTGATGTGATTGACAAGATTCAGGAAAAACATGCATCGCTTGCATCCCATGTACCAAGTTGTCCGACTGTTGACTGACATTGAGAGAGTACCCGGGTTTGCTGCCATGAATACAACAATTCTTACAATCTGGGTCATGCAGAAGGCTGTAGTATTGGGCAGGCTTCACATTCTCCGAAAAGTTCTGGGTGGGTTTGACAAGGCAGCGCTTCCTTGGAGAAGTGCGACGTTGAACAACAAACAGACAAATTTACCAACCTGACTAACCTCCATGTGAGTCGACTTGTGTTGGCAACGGAATCATCCAGTCTATTCATCCAATAAGCCCCTATGGTCCCCAGCGAGGTGGCCAAGCTTTGGTTGCTGGTAGCTTACAGTGGTGTTTTAAACAGTTGTAAATAATATTACTTTGCTTAAGTATTGTTGACCAATTTGCCTTTAAATATATCTCTGTATTTATGACATGCTTGTAGATATAAAAACTTGTTCTCGTCACTGTATGGATGAACTAATGCGACGTTATTGTTCACTAACTCACTCACTCACTCAGTATGTCAGCCAACCAGGCCTTCGCTTTCAACACCAAATATATCCAGGCAGTGTGTCAGCCAACCAGGCCTTCGCTTTCAGCACTAGATATATCCAGGCAGTGTGTCAGCCAACCAGGCCTTCGCTTACAACACTAGATATATCCAGGCAGTGTGTCAACCAACCAGGCCTTCGCTTTCAGCATCAGATATATCCAGGAAGTGTGTCAGCCAACCAGGCCTTCGCTTTCATCACTAGATATATCCAGGCAGTGTGTCAGCCAACCAGGCCTTCGCTTTCAACAGTAGATATTTCCAGGCAGTGGGTCAGCCAACCAGGCCTAGGCTTTCAGCACTAGATATATCCTGGCAGTGTGTCAGCCAACCAGGCCTTCACTTTCAACACCAAATATATCCAGGCAGTGTGTCAACCAACCAGGCCTTCGCTTTCAGCACTAGATATATCCAGGCAGTGTGTCCGCCAACCAGGCCTTCGCTTACAACACTAGATATATCCAGGCAGTGTGTCCTCCAACCAGACCTTCGCTTTCAGTGCTAGATATATCCAGGCAGTGTGTCCTCCAACCAGGCCTTCGCTTTCATCACTAGATATATCCAAGTAGTGTGTCAGCCAACCAGGCCTTCGCTTTCAGCACTAGATAGATCCAGGCAGTGTGTCAGCCAACCAGGCCTTAGCTTTAAGCACTAGATATATCCAGGCAGTGTGTCAGCCAACCAGGCCTTCACTTTCAACACTAGATATATCCAGGCAGTGTGTCAACCAACCAGGCCTTCGCTTTCAACACTAGATATATCCAGGCAGTGTGTCAGCCAACCAGGCCTAGGCTTTCAGCACTAGATATATCCAGGAAGTGTGTCCTCCAACCAGGCCTTCGCTTTCAACACCAAATATATCCAGGCAGTGTGTCAACCAACCAGGCCTTCGCTTTCAGCACTAGATATATCCAGGCAGTGTGTCCGCCAACCAGGCCTAGGCTTTCAGCACTAGATATATCCAGGCAGTGTGTCCCCCAACCAGGCCTTCGCTTTCAACACGAAATATATCCAGGCATTGTGTCAGCCAACCAGGCCTTCGCTTTCAGCTCTAGATATATCCAGGCAGTGTGTCCTCCAACCAGGCCTTCGCTTACAACACTAGATATATCCAGGCAGTGTGTCCTCCAACCAGGCCTTCGCTTTAATCACTAGATATATCCAGGCATTGTGTCCTCCAACCAGGCCTTCGCTTTCAGCACTAGATAGATCCAGGCAGTGTGTCAGCCAACCAGGCCTTCGCTTTCAGCACTAGATATATCCAGGCAATATGTCCTCCAACCAGACCTTCGCTTTCAACACCAAATATATCCAAGCAGTTTGTCAGCCAACCAGGCCTTCGCTTTCAACACCAAATATATCCAGGCAGTGTGTCAGCCAACCAGGCCTACGCTTTCAACACCAAATATATCCAGGCAGTGTGTCAGCCAACCAGGCCTTCGCTTTCAGCACTAGATATATCCAGGCAGTGTGTCAGCCAACCAGGCCTTCGCTTTCAACACCAAAAATATCCAGGCAGTGTGTCAGCCAACAAGGTCTTCGCTTTCAACACCAAATATATCCAGGCAGTGTGTCAGCCAACCAGGCCTTCGCTTTCAACACCAAATATATCCAGGCAGTGTGTCAGCCAACAAGGCCTTCGCTTTCAACACCAAATATATCCAGGCAGTGTGTCAGCCAACCAGGCCTAGGCTTTCAGCACTAGATATATTCAGGCAGTGTGTCCTCCAACCAGGCCTTCGCTTTAAACACCAAATATATCCAGGAAGTGTGTCAGCCATCCAGGCCTTCGCTTTCAACACTAGATATATCGAGGCAGTGTGTCAGCCAACCAGGCCTTCCCTTTCAGCACTAGATATATCCAGGGAGTGTGTCCTCCAACCAGGCCTTCGCTTTCGACGCCAAATATATCCAGGCAGTGTGTCAGCCAACAAGGCCTTCGCTTTTTAACACCAAATTTATCCAGGCAGTGTGTCAGCCAAGAAGGCCTTCGCTTTCAGCACTAGATATATCCAGGCAGTGTGTCCTCCAACCAGGCCCTCGCTTTAAACACCAAATATATCCAGGAAGTGTGTCAGCCATCCAGGCCTTCGCTTTCAGCACTAGATATATCCAGGCAGTTTGTCAACCAACCAGGCCTTCGCTTTCAACACCAAATATATCCAGGTAGTGTGTCAGCCAACCAGGCCTTCGCTTTCATCACTAGATATATCCAGGCAGTTTGTCAGCCAACCAGGCCTTCGCTTTCAACACTAGATATATCCAGGCAGTGTGTCAGTCAGTAGTACGCAGAGTAATTGCCTGTTATTCTAAGAAATTAGCTGAATTATCCTGAAAAAGTAGGGACATATCTTAGAATTAGTTTTCTTTCATGACGCTTTGAACGCCTCCCCTGATTGTAATGGTTTTATTTGTATGATCATTTGCATCTTGCGTGTCCTGTCCCAACAGCTCACAAGCTTATACAAAGTCAAGTCAAGTATCAACCTGAACAAACACACGGGAACATATTGTACAGAATAGGGAGTTGCGTCGGGTTCATTTTGGTCTCTGATGCTTCACATTTGAAATTGCCCCCCACATTTCAATGATAAAACCGTTTGAAAGGTTTTTGAGTTCAATAACCCTTATAACAAAATTTATATGCAAGATTTGCATGACACTCTTTGAAATCTTCGTAGAAAGAGCATGCTCGAAAGTTGTGAAATGTAGACGCCGAATGCAGCTGCTGGAATATTGCTCGGCATAAGGGAAATTTGGCTATTGAACCGTTGAAGTGTCGAGTATGGTGCCGAGAGCAACATCGACCACAGGGTTCTGAGTCGCCACCACCCCCTCGCTCCTCATTTGTATTTTGAGTGAGTGAGTAAGGTTTAACGGCGCTTTTAACAGTATTACAGTTATTTCACGGCGTGTCCGTTTAATGTGGGAGGGAAGCCCGAAATGATGCAGGTGTCAAACATTTACCACTTCGGTGAAGCCCACGAGCACGGGTATGGGGGAGACAAACCTAGTAGTTAAAAGATGTGTGTCATATCATTTTACAAGGGTTCAATAAAGCATGTATCGATGAATATAGTTTGTCTTTACACAACACCTCCATGTTGCTATGTGCATTGCTTATATCGTTTACTGATTCACTTTCAGCATCCAAGTTTTCAGCCACCCCGGGGAAGAAGGTACAGACTGCTTTGACCTCCATTACGACGACTATAGCCAGTGAGTGTGCAGTCAAGTGTCACGTGACTGAGTCCTGCCTCGCTTTCGCTTTCAATCCTTCTTTGACAGAAGACAACTGTTTTCTCTCCGACTGCTCGAGCACAACCGACGAGATTGGTTGGACTGTCTGGATCCTAGACCCGGGGTCTTTCAACACACAACAGAACTGTTGAAGCAAGATTTGCGATAGTTTATTTGTGAAGTTATCAATGATAAAAATGTGATATAGGGTACACAGTAATTATTTCATACCACATGCTAGTTTATCTGTCTTGAGAGGCTATTACCAGGGTATAGATGATTGGTACAATATATACCCACATATTTCCTTCATTATATCAAGTTGTTAATTCATGGCAAGTCTAAGACCTGCATCACTTCGGGCTTTCCTCCCACATTAAGCTGACACGCCGCGATATAACTGGAATAGTGTTAAAAGCGGCGTTAAACCCAACTCACTCACTATTCATGGCAAACTGAAAGGCCATAGGCCAATAGTCAAACGTATTTACAAATTATGCGTGTTTCTTCGAACTAACAACGCATGATGTATGTACAATGTATGTACAATGCAATATTTTGTATTAAAACATTTCACTGATTACATAATCTGTTCCAGCTGCTTTACTACATTTCAAATTACGAATATTCTCTCCTATTTCCTCACTGCTGATAGGGGCATTAAATATGTCATCAGTGACAGACACAACCTAGTAAGTACCAGTATATTCATCCGTTACTTTCAGTGTTCAAGGTGTGTGTATCTGCCTCATAAAAAGGAGATATGTCTGGCTCTGCAATACTGAACAGGTATTTAAAATACTCGTACTAAGTCATATACCGAGTATATCATGAAATATGTCACACCGAACAAACATAAAGAATGTATAGCAAAATATCATATAGGAAAGACGCCAACTCTATGAGTGAGTGAGTGAGTTGGGTTACCTCCGCTTTTAACAGTATTTCAGTTATATCACGGCGTGTCAGCTTAATGAGGGAGGAAAGCCCGAAGTGATGCAGGTCTCAGACGTTTACCACTTCGGTGAAACCCACGAGCACGGGTATGGTGCTGACAAACCTAGAAACATAATCGGGGCGAACCTGGATTCGAACCCACAATCATAGGTTTCTGGCGTGCCCAAGGGACGCAACTCTGCACAGCGAATCGCGGCGCCTTAGACAACTGGGCCACCCGTGCCCCCGCCAAATCTATGAGTGTAACAATGTTTTAAGTGGTCTGATTTCAAGTGTTTGTTCCTATCGATCAGAAAAATGTAATTAAGGGCCAAAGAATATACTACTGTTCGAAAGTCGATTATTGTTCGTCATTACCAAATGAATAGTTATTATCCTTTTCAATCAGAAAATATAATTACGTTGTCGTGGCAAATTCAATCACATTCCGTGGCTCAGTTGGGGTATTCGATATTTCTTTGTTCAATATTGCTGAAAGGATGGTTTGGTGTCAGAAGTAGCATGTGTGTGATAAAACCAAAGCTTCTGTTTGAGACTGCATTCGTTCCCTCGTGTTTGATAATATTTACAGCATCTGTTCTTGAAAATCAGTTAACAACGTCACGAAATGAATTCTTAAGCATAGTGTTTTCCAACACACTTGCATGGGTGTCTATCGATTTATAAGGAATAACATGCAGATGCTTCTACAAGAATTGTAGACCGATATACGACAAACTGCGCTTTCCTGACATATGCTGAAATGCTCCAATGATCCTCCGTCTTTCACTGCACAGTGAATTAATGGTTTCTTAGAGAGACATTTTAGAGTACTAAGTAAGGATAAGATATGTGGATGAACGACTTCTTTATTACAATCAGGAGCGACGTTTCGGTGTAGGTTCTAACGACGTTATCAAGCAAGTGATATACAGAGTATGGTTGACAAGTGTATATACAGGCAAGAGGTATTGTTTATACAGTAGAGTAGGTTTAAGATGTAGATACACTGGAGTGCCGAAGCCTGTTATGTACACAAATGGGTAAACATATTGACCAGTGTAGTCAATAATATAATCAAAAGGGTGAAGCAAGTAATATAATCATAAGGATTATGACTGATTTGGTTCTTTGATGAGTTGATGGTACGCCAGGGGTATGAAATAGCCTTAGTCACGGTTGATTAACGGTTTGAGCCTTAGTGTTGGGTGAGTGAGTGAGTTGGGTTTAGTTCCGCTTTTAACAGTATTACAGTTATATCACTGCGTGTCAGCTTAATGTGGGAGGAAAGCCCGAAGTGATGCAGGTCTTAGACGTTTACCACTTCGGTGAAACCCACGAGCACGGGTATGGTGCTGACAAACCTAGAAACATAATCAGGGCGAACCGGGATTCGAACCCACAATCATAGGTTTCTGGCGTACCCAAGGGACGCAACTCTGCACAACGAATCGCGGCGCCTTAAACGACTGGGCCACCCGTGCACCCATTCAATGTTGGGTATGACTTTACTCCGCCTTTAGCAATATTTCAGCTATATCATGGCACGTTTTACCAATGTGGGGAATCGAACCAGGGCCTGCGGCGTGATGGGCGAACGCTTTAACCACAAGGCTAAACCACCGCGAAGGGAGAGTATTTTCCAATGTGTAATGTACTAATAATAATAATAATATAGTTTATTAATGTGTCATGTGTACATAATCAACTGGCCATTACTGGCCTAAAGGACACCTAAAATTATACAATCAATAGAATACATAAATAAAACATTATAACTAATAATATCATCATATGTATACAGCAACCAAATTTTCTACTTAATCACCTTCTCTCACAAATAATATACAACATATGAAACACAGAATTATACATAAGGATATTGTTCACTAAAAACAGATATTTTTTATATTATGGTAGTTTGGATAGGCACAAACTACTAATCTACTTAATCACATTCTCTCACCAATAATGTACAACATATGAACACAGAATTATACCTAAGGTTATTGTTCACTAAAAACAGATATTTTTACATTATGGTAGTTTGGATAAGCACAAACTACTAATCTACTTAATCACATTCTCTCACCAATAATGTACAACATATGAACACAGAATTATACCTAAGGTTATTGTTCACTAAAAACAGATATTTTTATATTATGGTAGTTTGGATAAGCACAAACGCCTTTTGCTGTACATAGTGTGCAAACATAGAGATAACTGGCACTGAATGTTGTCATTTTTAAGAAGCCACAGAAACTTTTCAAAATTTGAAAATTGAGTGAAATTTGTTTCTTGTATTTTAGTAATGTTAAATATAGACAATCTGATATCTTTATAGAAGTTGCATTCTACAACAAAATGAAATGCATCCTCTATGACTTGCTTGTCACAGAGAGTACATAGTCCTTCTGAAAGAGGAGTGATGGGCTTGGTATATCTTCCACATTCTATATTAATTGGCAGGTTACCACAACGCAATGACGCTAATACACTTCTATATTGCCCTTGGTAGAGACATTTTAACATAATGGCATGTTTCAATTTCTTGTTGAAATAATCTATAAGTTCTTAACTTGTTTCCCTTTAAATTATTTTTGTCATTAAATAGATCTGAATACCACTTCTCTCTGTCTTTCTTATCCAGCTCCTGCAATGCTTGATCAAGGAACACTGACCGGCTTGTGTTATTACAGTAATCATATACAGTCTGGCCTCTGTTGGTGATAGCAAGCTTTTTAACCATGACCATAACCCTGTAGTCCAATGATGATTTCCGCCTCACTGACCACCTGTGATTGATGCCTATTATTGAATCTGGTTCGGCTGTGACAGCTCTATGAAAACATCTAAACACTTCAACTTGAATCTTAGTCTGTTGATTTCTCCATCCCATATCACCCCGTACAGCAATATTTGAACTATTTTTCCGAACACCCAGGAAAAATCGACAGGCTTTGTTTTGTATAATTATGGTTAATTTCTTTATGCCCCACACACTGGCGCTGTAGTTGAGGACAGGTTCAACATAGCTGTCAAACAATTTAGTTAACACCTCATGACTTAATTATAAACGACCCATGTTGTTGAACTTGGCTAGCACAGCCCCAAGGGCTCTATTTGCTGATTTACAAATTGCAGTCACAGTTTTTTTTGTAATTACAATGATCATTCAGCCACATGCCAAGATACCTGTATTCCATACAGTAATCAATATTGATTTCACCACAAGTAAACTGGTAAGTTCCCATAGGAATAGATACAGGTCTGCAATGCATAATCTTTGTCTTATCTTTGTTTACTCCAAGTTTCCAATGTTTAGACCAGTCAGCGAGACCATTAAGGAGCTTCTGCATGTTATATTCATCCGGAGCTATGAGCACAATATCATCAGCATACAGAAATAGAGAAATGTTCAAATTATCAATATTAATACCATATTTCAGGTCACTGATTTTATCTGCCAAGTCATTTATGAACATTAAAAATAAAGTCGGCGACAAACAGCAGCCTTGTTTCACACCAATGGGGACATAAAACCAATCAGTTCTTACTGTATTGACCTTTACACAACATTTCACTCTTTGGTACAGAGACTGAATGGCATTCAGTATAATTCCTTGAATTCCAAATTGTTGTTTCATTTTGAACCATAGTAAATTTCTTTGTACAGAGTCAAAAGCTTTTTTTCATATCAATGAAACACACAAATGTTGAGAGCCTCGACATCTTTCTGTTGTTAAGGACTGTAAATGGTCTTGACAGGATCGTCTCTTACGGAATCCATTCTGCAGTTCTGTTAAATAACTGTCGTTTTCTAACCAGTTACTGATTCTGTTATTAATAACTTTTGCATACATTTTATATGGTACACATAGTAATGTAATGCCTCTGTAATTTGTTGGTACTCTCGGGTCATCCTTTCCAGATTTTGGAATTGGATTAATAATTCCTGTTTTCCAAAGTTCAGGCACAAGTCCAGTTTTAAACATAATGTTAAACATTTTGTGTAATAAATTCACACTCACTGAGTTCTTAAAAATGTCTGCTTTAATATTGTCTATTCCTGAAGTTTTGTTCAGTTTAGTATGCTTAACAGCTTCACAAACTTCTTGTTCACTTATGGGTTGATTAAGAACTTCAGAGTCTACAGCAGTTGGGATTGTATTCAACTCTTCATTGTATAGGTGATTAATGTTGTTTATAATGTTAGTAGAGTTGTCCTCCCTTGGATTATATATAGTGCAGAAATCGTCTCTCCACTTTTCCATCACATCTTTGTGGTCAACCAAAAGTGTGTCATCATCATTTAATACTGTATTCGGGATCACTGGTCTCCTTTCATTTTGTATTCCCAGCTTTCCAATATTTTTCCAGAATAGTGTAGGATTAATCAGTGACTTGGTTACTTCTTCCTGCTTTTGTTTCTGATAAGTTCTTTTGTGTTTCCGGTGATTTCTATCAAATTGTTTTCTAACTTGACAGAATTATTCTCTTAAATGTCTCCTAAAAGTACTGGAGCCTTTACATTTTGTCCATAATTTCTCTTTCCTGCAGGCAAGATTCCATAGTGTCTGTAGCTCCTTACACCAGTATGCTTTCTTTCTTGATTTATTAGTCTTGTGTTGTTCTCTATTGTGATATATCGTCCTGTGATCTAGTTTAGTGTTCATTTCTTCTCTAAGGGCTTTAAGGAATATATCAAACATATCATTAATGTCTCTTTGTTGTGTATTACACGCCTCAAGGTTTTTAATCCAAGCATGAAGAGAATTCACCGTTTCATTGTTCAACATAAAATCTTGTGGTACCTTGCTCACATCATATCTAATGTAAGGTTCATTTGGCGTAGGTATAGTATTCTGTTTAGAGTCTTTATTTCCAGTAGCCACATCCAGATTGACTTGAAGTTGCCAGGTTATCAGAGAGTGATCTGTTAATAATGAGATAGGTGGTGAAAGATTATGTCTGTTTATTATGTCTGTGATCTTATGTACATGGAAATCTCCAACAAAATT